CGCACCACCACGCGGAGCGGAACCCCCCCCACCGGACTAGCAAACGGGACAACAGGCAGCAGAGCGCAAACAGGATGGAGTACATCGTATAGCCAACGGGCTCCGAGGGACCGGAAGGACCACAGAGACCGGGACCACAGAGACCGGGACCACAGAGACCGGGACCCCCCCCCCCCCTCGGCCTGGAAGACTTTTGCTCATTTGTCTTTTTTTGTTGATGATGTCGTTGTTCTTTTGTTTCAAACTGGATTTTTTTGACGTTTAATTTATGACCCCGTTGGATCTCCGTCTCTCCGTCTCCCCGTGGACGTCCCCGTTAGTGGGCGGAGTTTCGACGTGCACGAAAAGTGCGCCTTTTTCGATTGGAGGATGAGTTTTTGCATTTGGACGGTGCTGGAGCACCAGTTTGGGAGAAGAATGTATTTATTTCGTTTTTTTTTGGAGTATTCGAGTCAATATGAAGAATCGTCCGTGTAGAATGTTTCTGTATAGATGTGTAAATATTTTTTATTAATCATGTGTATATTTGATTTATTAACTTAATCGCCAAGAGCCTTGAGGTTTTCCTTTTTGTTTAATTTATGAGGCAAACGTTCTGTAACTCTTTTAGTTTTTTGTGTTTTTTTTTAAACGCCAAAAGTGCTCTTGAAGGATTTATTTCCTTGCGGGGGGCCGGGGGGGGGGGCTGAGGGTGGGCCGGGGGGGGGTGGTTGCCTTTTGGATTTGGGTATTTTTTTTTTCCCATCTAAATGTTTTGTACAGTGTCTGTTTGATGTAATTTTGTTATGTTTGCCGAGTACACGATGTACGTGGGGTTTTTTTGTGGGGGGGTTTGTTCTGCTGCAGGGCCATTTGACACAAACCAGCAGACAGTTTGCTTTTGCTACTGAAAGGACTTCAAGAGATGCAGCTTTCGTACCACGTGGAGGAAAAAGAACGGTTTGGGTTTTGTGTTTGTAACATCGGATCAAACCTGCGTGATTAAAGGAGCTTCGTTTAAAGTATAAAGTTCTACGAGTCGAATAAGAACGTGGTGACGTGACGCGTCGCCTGTCGTTGGTGGAACCACGTTTGATTCCAACGTCGGTCACTTTTTACGATGGAAGACTCAATTAAATGTGTTTTTTTTTCCTCGTGCATTTCACTTGACGTTTCTTTTGGACCTTGAGAATAAAAGTCAGTTTGTTAATGGCAATAATGAATTGTTCTTTTTTTGCGGGGGGGACTATCCATTAAAAAGAACCAATTGATTCAGCCAGTTTGATAGAAACAATAAACTATCATCACGTTTCATGACTTTTTACGACATGCTGGTTTTTATGACTAAAGTAAAAAAAAACATTTGCTTAAAGGGTTCTGATTTAAGCGTTTTTTGATTAAATGAAATTTAATTCTGACCAAGCTGACTTTGATGGAACGCACCAAGAACCAAAGAGTTGTGTCCCGGTGACAGTGCATGTCCGCGTCTCCGGGGACGGACCTCTGCTCGCCCACTGATGTCCTTCCAGGCGTTTGGAGTCCCGGCTGAAAGGAAAAGACTCTCACGCGTAACGTCACGCACGCGTTGCGTCCATGTGGCGGACGGCCTCGTTTCGTTTTGACCCCCCCAGACAAACGTCTTTATCGCAGCCGGAGAACCGAAGTTACTTTGTCTCCGTTTATCCGTCCTCTGGTCCCCCGTGTCCATCACACGCTTGTCCTCTGCAGACATGTGATAGCGTTTATAGAGACCCGCACGCAGCCCTGGGAGACTGTCCCTCACGGATAAACAACACGGGACGCCCCCCCCCTTCCACTCCAGAACCACAACTTCCACTCCGAGACTCCCGACTGTCTCTTTCTGTCGACACCAGATGGAAAAAAAAAAGCTACGAGTTTATTCCATTTTGTTGCAGATTTGAACCAATGTGGTGGTTTCACATCATGACGAACATGTCTCAGGTAGATAATCCATCACAGGAGTGAACTTCAGTGGAATCCAGTAACCGATGAAGGACGATGGGCGCTTTAGTCAGATAACACACGGAGGGTCCCGTCTGCGAACACGTGAACATCCGCAGCAGATTCCGTCGAGACATTTGTCTCCGCAGCGGGCCGACGCCGCTGTCCTCGGACATACGTGAATAAAGTAGTTGTTGCTGGGTGACTTTGTGATGGAGAACAAACAACGGTTTGAGACAGAAATTGGCCTAAGAATCCATCCATCAGACGCTCTTGGCAGCGTCTTCACCACGAAAACACACGACATCATGAAAACACACGAGCTACCAACAACTGGCCCAGTGTCCCCTCGGCCTTTCCCCCCTTTCTGTGTTTTTAATGGTCCCAGTCGTGAAATCTGAACCTGTGCTTCAAAGCTGCTGGCGAAGCAGAGCTAACGCGATCGTTAGGATCGCAGCGGCCCCCACCAGGGCTCCCCAACCAGGGCCCCCACCAGAGCCCCACCAGGGCCCCAACAGGGCCCCCAACAGAGCTCTCTCAGAGCCGCCGACTAAGGCCC